ATTTACAAGGTGAAATAGCAATGATATATATACACCAAGAAACTAACGGTTGCCTATGTTTGACCCTACTGTACAAAGTACAAAGATGGTAAAGGTAGAGTGGGCTTTTCTTTGAATATAGCTGCTCCTTTTTTCTCATAATAGGCCTATGATGAAAAGACCCTTCTGAGGCTACTGATGAACTGATGCTATCTCTTGACTTGATGCCTTCAATGCCAATGATGAGCTAAATGTCTGAGGCAATTAGTTCATTCTTAACTACCCTAGTTTCTCAATAGTTATTATTATTATTTTTTTAATAATTTGATGTTGGAAATTTTTTAAAATTGTAGAGGATATAGATAAACAATCACCGATTGAATTAAGGCCGGGTCTATGAAAGACGGGGATGAATCGAAGGTGTTCGATTATATTTCTATGAATTTGTAAAGGATCATGCTGTTTGATTATGGAAAATGTAGATTTTTTTTAATGGCAGCGAGTTCCGTAATCGGAAAACCGAGAGATGAAAATGGATTTAGAGTTTGACTTTGATCTCCAGGAAGTGGATTTAAAGTTTGACTTTGATGTCGACTTGAAATGACGCCACTTTTGTCAAATTTTGGGTATCAAGACTTGTGCTCCGTCGTATATCGTCAACCTTATATTCATCTTTATTCGATACAAGATTTATCCCTTAACAAGCACTGAATGGTCTGTTTAAACAAACTAATATTGAAATCCGCGTACTATGAGTATTATATTTATTTTTATTTGATGTAAGATTTACTCCTTAACATGCCTGGTTTGCTTTAACAAACTAATATTGAAATACATGTGCTGTGATCAGGGGCGAAGGGAGGGGCGGGACCCAGACCCCCTTATTTTTTGACAATTTTTTTTTAATTTACCATTTTGTCCTCACCATTAATAAAATTAAACCCTACCAGTCCAATTTTACCCGATTTTTTCTCTTCTGTCTTCAGAAATGGTTAAGTGATAGCTTGCTTGTGTATATTGAGAAGGATGTATTCAACAGGATTGATGATGATGTAGTTATACAACGTTATTAAAGTATGAGAACTCAAAATGAACATTTGTAATAAGGTATAATTTTGCTAAATTAAAGATTAGTACTTTCTTTTATACGTTTCTTGATTTTTTTTGTTAATAATGTACATTAATTTATGTTCATTTGTTTCCTTTGTTTATCACAAAATACCAATTTCCCTCACTTTAAGAGAAAATGTTTCAAAAAGAAATTTTCGAGGCACCCCTGTGGGGCCCACCCCTTCAACTCTGGGACTCCTTACTTTGACGGGCTGGCTCTGCCCCGGCTATGAGTATTAGTCGGATCGAATTGCTAATTAAAATTTATTGTACTTTTATACCATATTAAACACCTTTTTGAGATCCAAGTGGATTTTTTTCAATTTTGACTTAAATGTAGACGAAGCCTGATCGAACATGAACCAACCAGCAAATGATAATCTTGATAAGCCATCCACCTCGTTGCATTTTTAACCTTCTATATTTTCTCCAAGTTCTCGATGTTAAAATTATAATACAGATTTCAATTTGGTTCTTTTTGTGGTTTCTTCGAGTTGGTGCAATTTTCTTACTACATTTTTGTGCACGGTGCATAAATTCTTGCATGACAATTCAGGTCGTTTTCCAATTGCTTCAACTGAGAAGTGTTGAACAATTGCTGCATGAGAGTAATGCACGGCTTTGAGTAAATAATATCATCTGATGGTGCAGAGTTGTCAGGAAGTGACAGATCTGAGAAGCAGGCCAGCACCAATAAAGACAAAGCAGGACTGGCACGAGAGGTTAAGGAACATAAGAATAGGGAAAAAGGGCGCCGAGGATAGTGAGAAGACTGAAAATTCCATTGTATATGCAATCTTTGATGAAAATTTATACTTTATGAGCGAGAGAGAAATCTCTGAATCTGAGGTATTTGTTTCGATATCCTTTACTATCACACAAGCACATCTTTGATTGCTGTTTTCACTCATCCATTTGTATTGGAAAGTAGTTTTGTTGCTCATTCTGCCATTCCATTTATGGAGATTGCAAAAAGGTATAATGTTGCCAAATGTATCCCTTGTAAATTCTCAAACCTTTTCATCCTTTAGATTCTGAAAAACTGATTAGTGTGATAGCTGTGGCATGTGGATAATGGGATGCATTGACTGGGAAAGTGGTATTTCCTATTTATTCACTTCACTAAAGAATGATATTATCATTAATGTTTGCTGGTCAAAATGTGAAGATAATTTTCATGGCATGAACTATTGAGAATGATATTATCATTAATGTCAAAATCTTTGGTTCGATATTCTCCACTTGTTTTTCTTTGATGAATTATGGTTCTGTTGGTCATTGTTGGTTCAACATTCTATATCTAATACTTCAAACTGTTCTATCAATGACACTGAAGATAACAGTTTCAATTATTCTCCCTTTCCTCCAAAGGCATTTTATGACACAAGTTGCCCGTTTTTATTTGCTCAGTGTTGGTGCAGGATGCTCTCAACTCCTTTCTGACAAGCAGGCCTTTAAGGTGAAGTTTCATGATAAAAATCTTACAATTTGTTGTTGAATACCCCGTGGGCCGAGGCAAATTTTTCACGACCTAAATACTGATTTGTGCTGCTATCCTTGTCAGGCAGCAAATCCTGGCTGCATATTAGAAGATTTCGTAAGATGGCACTCTCCTCCTGATTGGATGGAAAATGATACAAACACTGAAGTGAACATAACTTCTGCTGGGGTTGACTTATTGTCTGCAAAAGGTCAACTTAGTACGCGTATGCAGAAAGAAGGAAATCCTTTTAAATGGCTTTGCTTCCAAGAATTACTTGTCATGAAACTCAATTTATAAATTCAAATGTAAGGCAATTTAGCTTAGACATGACATCAAGCTCCTTACAGAAATTATTAAGCATTTCTGTTTTTAAAAAATCTCAGTTATTCAATCATATTCATTCAAGTTGTTTACTTCGTGGTCTTAGGTGATTTTTAAATTTACTAGACACTAGTCAGTGATCAAACGTGTTCACAGCAGGACTGTTTGGTTATCTTTCATGACTCTGGTCTCTGAATTTATGCATTTAATCAGTGCTCATATAAAAAAAACAAGTATTTAACATGAGCTATGAACTAGTAATCTAATATATTACGAATAAGGAAGCAGAAATTGGAGAATTGAATTTCTTATTATTTTCTGGAAGTGAAATGTACAAAGCATATAAATACAAATCATACAATGAAATAAAAGGCGGGAACTACAGCTGGAATTAGCAAACTTAACAAACTATCCTAACTAACTTTGACAGCTCAATGACAGTTGGAAGTTGAGCTGCTTCTATTGGTTCTGATACTCCCCCCTCAGATGGATTATGAAGATTAATTATAGCCATCTTGGAAAGTAGTGGAAGCAACTTAGAAGCAGGTAGTGGCTTTGTGAATATGTCAGCAAGCTAATGATTGGTTCTGACTGGCAAGAATTTGATAAAACCATCAGTGATTTTGTCCCTTACAAAATGACAATCTATCTCTATGTGTTTAGTCCTCTCGTGAAAAATAGGATTGGCAACGATATGGATGGCTGCTTGGTTGTCATAAAAGATCAAAGCTGGAGCCTTTGGAGCTATATGAAAGTCGAGGAGTAGTTGATGTATCCATACAATCTCATTAGCAGAGGAGGCTAATGCACGGTACTCAGCTTCAGCTGGATATAGTACTTTGTTTCTTAGCTTTCCAAGACACCATGGAATCCCCAAGGAAAACACAGAAACCAGTTACAGATTTCCTACAGTCTAGACATGATTCCCAATGCGCATCAGTGAAGGCACGTAATTGTAAAAGATGAATCAGCAGAGAACAAGAGACCTTGTCGTGGAGTGGCTTTAATATATTGCAACAAATGATGGATAGCTGTTAAATGAGGCTTTTGAGGTTGAGACACATATTGGCCGAGCTTATGAACAGCAAATGTGATGTTTGGTCTTGAAATGGTCAGGTATAGCAAGCATCCAATTAACCTTCTATATATAGAACCATCCTTCAATAGCTCCCACCCAAAGGAGCTCAGTCGAACTTTGGGATCCATTGGCAAATTAGCTGGTTTACAAGCAAGAAATCCGGTGTCTTCAAGTAACTGAAGTGCATAGTGGCGTTGGGATAGAACAATAGCTTGATGGGATCTATCAATCTCCAATCCAAGAAAATATTTAAGCTTACCGAGATCCTTGAGCTTAAATTGACTGTTCAGGAAGGATTTCAATTCATCAATAACCTGAAAATCCGAACCAGTGCTGACTATGTCATCAACATACACAAGCAAAGCACCAAAGGCATTTCCCGAACCCTTAGTAAAGAGAGAGTAGTCAGACTTAGATTGGTGAAAACCATGTAACAATAGAGCATGAGAGAACTTTGAAAACCAATGTTGTGAAGCTCATTTTAATCCGTAAATGGATTTGTGCAGCTTACAGACAAGGTGTTCCCCATATTTTCCAGGTGTGATAAGAGGATCATAGCCCAAAGGCAGGTCCATATAAATGTCTTCAAAGAGATCCCCATGAAGAAACTCATTGTTGACATCTAATTGAATAATGTACCACCTATTGATGGCAGCCACCGCTAATAAGAGTTTTACAGTTACCAGTCTCGCCACTGGAGAAAAGGTTTCCAAGAAATCCAACCCCTTTTGTTGAGTATACCCTTTGGCAACCAAGCGAGATTTGTATCGTTCAATGCTACCATCTGATTTATACTTAATTTTGTATACCCACTTACATCCAATAGTATACTTTCCTTTAGGAAGACTTATGACAGACCAAGTCTTGTTCAACTCCATGGTTGCTAACTCAAAGGCCATGGCATCTTTCCAGTTAGTATCTTGAATAGCCTGACTGAAAAATTGAGGTTCAGTGTTTGAGGAGATATTTAAGAGAAGATTTTTATGAGAAACTGAAAGCTTAGTATATATGAGGTAGTTGTTTAAGGGATAATGAGCATTATCAGAAGCTGGGGTGTTAGATAAGAGGCTGCAATGGAAATCCTGGAGATATGATGGAGTTTTGCTGTTCTGAGAGATCGTCCGAGAGTAGGATTAGCAGGAATGTGTGAAGTGGTAGGAGGACCTGAACTTGGAGAGGAATCAATAGGTACATCAATGTCAGTGTGATCATGTGATAGTATACCAAGATGAACATTAGAAGTGGAAATAGGTAGAACAAGATTAGGAAAGAGATCAATGATGTCAGGAGTTTTTGAAGTTGAATGAAAAGGGAAAATCTGTTCATGAAAAATTACATCTCTGGAAATGAAAATGGACTGTTAAATAATGTCAAACAACCTATAGCCTTTGACGCCAGGATGGTAACCAATGAAGACACAAGCCTTCGCTCTAGGATGGAATTTTTGATGGTGAGAGGTAAGAGTAGATGCAAAGCATAGACTGCCAAATACTCTAAGGAATGTATAGTCTACTGGAGAATTATAGAGTAAAGTAAAAGGTGTCTTGTTTTGTAGAATTGGTAAAGGGGATCGATTGATCAGATAGTTGGCTGTGAGGACACAGTCACCCCATAATGAAATAGGGACATGTGACTGGAAAAACAAAGCTCTACCCACATTGAGCAAGAGTTGGTGTTTCCTTTCAACTACTGAGTTTTGCTCAGGGCGTTCAGGACAAGAAAATTGGTGGAGAACACCTTTTGAGTTAAAAAAAATCTGTAAAAAGTAATTTAGGAGCATTATCAGACCTGAAGACTTTGATGAATTTGTGGAATTGTGTTTCAATAAGGTTGAAAAACTTGGGAATAATGGTATGAACGTCTGATTTCTATTTCATCAGGTAGACCCAAGTGAACCTTGTGCAGTCATCTACCAGTGTGAGAAAGTATCTGTGACCATCACGTGTTGGTGAGCTGATGGCCCCCATGTGTCACAATGAACAAGATCAAAGGAAGTAGAAGATAAATGATTGTTTGAAGTAAAAGGTAACCTTCTTTGTTTAGCAAGTGGACAAATATAGCAGGAAACTATAGCATTTCTGTCACTTCTAAAATGTAATTGATCCTATCTCCAGTCTTTTAAAAGACAAATGGCCAAGTCTATGATGCCAAGTATTTGAAGATACATTATTCATTACAGAACAAATAGGATTACAAATATCCTTGAATGAGTTACACTTATTCTCCACAACTCTAGACTTTGCATCAATGACATAATGTCCATCAATTCTTTCAGATCTGCCAATCATCTTCAAGCTGTGTAGGTCTTGAATGTCACAGTAATCGGTGAGAAATCAAATGATCATATTCGAGTTCCTGGTTAAAGAACTAATGGACAACAGATTGAATTTGAATTGAGGCACATATAATACATCTTCAAGGATCAATTCATGTGTAAGCTTAACATTTTCAGCAAAAAACACAGGAATTTTAGTATGATTAGGAAGTGTAATAAAAATATTCTGTATTGCCTGCAGTTTATGAAAAGATGCATGATTGAAACAGACATGACCGGTTGCTCCTGAGTCCAGTATCCAATGTCTAGTAGAACCGAATGCTTGGTTATTGGAAATGGAAAGGCATGTACCTGTTACATGACCAGTATTAACCCCTTCTTCTCGTACCTTAGTAGCCGTGAGATGCGTGCTCAGCATATTTATTAAATGCTGATATTGATCAGAATTCAATGTTTGCATAAAGTTCCCAATGTTTCCAATATTTGGGTCTGAAACTTTATAACCTGATTGATGATTTGAACTAGCTCCAGCCGTTTGTTTTGTGTTGTATCCAAGTGGAAATCCATGAAGCTTATAACACTTGTCAATGACATGGCTTACACCTCCACAATATTTGCAAACAGGCCTATCCCTCTTCTGATACTGATTCCTATTATAAGGCTACCCTATGGTTGCTCTTTGTGCATCATTTCTGGCATAAAAGGCCAACGAATCAGTGGTTCCAACATTCACATTTACCACCCTTTGATGCTCTTCTTGTAGGATAAGAGAAAATACTTTGTTAATTGAAGAAATTGGATCCATAAGCAACAATTGTCTTCTAACTTGAGCATACGAATCATTTAAACCCATTAGAAAAGACATGACATATTCCACGTGGTAATGTTCTGCTAGTTTTTTATTTCCATCACATGTAATTTACCACATGAACATGAAGGTCTATAGTTGCTAAGTTCCTCACAAATAGCCTTTAATTTCGTGAAATAAGCACTAACAGACAGCTGCCCTTGCGTATGATTCATTAACTCACGCCTCAATTGAAAAATTCGAGGATCGTTTCTTTATTGAAATCTCTCCTTAAGATCATTCCGGATTTCATTAGCAGATTCAAAATAAATGATGTTGGCTGAAATATCCTTTGATACAGAATTAAGGATCCATGAAATAACCATATTGTTATTTCGAATCCAAGAATTGTGAAAATCAGAATTACCTTTAGGTCGATTGATTGATCCATCAATAAAACCTAGCTTATTCTTTACTGATAATGCTATGGTCATTGCACGACTCCATCAGGTGTAATTCTCACCTGTTAATTGCTGCGAAACAAGGACCAAACCAGGACTGTCCGAGTGATGGAGAAAATACGGACTTGAAATCAAACAGGACAGCAATGGCAGAGCTGAGAAGAGGTTAGCTCTGATACCATATTACGAATAAGGAAAAAGAAATTTGAGAATTGAATTTCTTATTATTTTCTGGAAATGAAATGTACAAAGCATATAAATACAAATCATACAATGAAATAAAAGGGTTTCAGTGCGTTCCATGGTAGGGAGTTATTGGAAGTACTGCCTTCCCCTTCTGTTGAAATGAAGAGCAAAGTGAACTCTATCTAAAAG